GTGCCCTATTTCGCCACTCCATGTTAAACTTCGTGCTAGACGTAATATTGGAAAACGTACTAAGTCGTATTCTGAATGCCGCTATGGGCATCTGGAGAAAAGAGAAGCGATCTGCGGTAGCTTAGTGACATCGTTTTTTGGGTTTATGTCCATAGAAGATGTGCATAGCACACTTGCCAGACTAACGTAATCTGTTGCCTCGTTCTTTGAGCGCTTTGTGCATTCAACGTACAAAGTGATGCTGTACAGTAGTGTTTAAAATAGCCTAGAAGCTAGAAGCTCATTGAATCCTTCCTAGATCTGGGTAACCGTGTGGCGGAATACGGTAGCACACTAAAGGTGATCGCAAGTATACCGATGGTCAATAAACACCGAACTGATACACCTCTGGCGTCAAAGTGCGATTTTATTGTGTGTTGCCATACCACATACGGCTCTGTTCTATCACAGAAGTCACTTGTCATCCCACCGTATGGGCAGTTCTGCTATATGCATATGAGTTTGATTGTGTGTGTGATACCCGCCCATCGAGCTTCACGTTCTTTTCCTTCCCTCAAAGTGGATTCAATCCCTATCCACCTTAGATGTTACCACTAACCTTGTATGCGTTACGAGTTTGGCAGTGATTAGTGAATTTTGCTTCACTGTATCTCGCGGTACGATGGTGATGATGACCTACGGGAATCGTTCTGTTCTATGTGGAATTGAGATAAAAGAAAGTTGAGGGAGTTCAATTCATGTGACGCATTTGTTTTATTTCCGCACATGCAATTGCGGCATTAATCCCAGATACTATTAGTAATACTTTTCTTATTCCTCTTTAGCCTCACAACGATACTTGAATGCGGCATCCGATCTGGCAATGAAACAGGTTCGCGAATGGGGTTTGTCCAAAACAATCGGGAATCTGAGTTTTGATGTGAGTTTTCACGATCGACGGGTGTCTCGGTTGTATGTTGCGTTCTGTGTTATACTCTACGAACTAAACCGGTAAACACACGAATTCATTTCAAACCCATCCTGTATCTATTTATTTATGTTTTGAAAGGTCCTCATTTCGATGGTTACTGTACTCTAACCTCATGATATCCTATCTTACCCTAGACCAGGTGGTCATTTCATGTAGACCGAACTGAATTACTTTGTGACGAGCGTCCGCTATGAACTCACTGTCATCTGTTATGGTGATGGAACAGCTTACTATGATATTTCTCAGTCCTTGTGCTCCAGTGACAATCATGAATGATCGGAAAGTATCTCGCAGCTGTATGCTACCGAGCTGGGTTCCAGGTCACGCATAGGAGAAAAGCCATGTAAGTGCTTAACCGTGAATAGATGGTTATTCATTCATCGAATGAGTGGTCACGGACGCTCGACGGTGAGGTTCTAGTATCTGGCGTTTTTTATCCGGCAATGATACAATTCTCAGGAAGGAAAAAGCGGCCAATCAAAGATGCTATCATACAACACATAATGCCAAAAAGTCAGCCCTTGGTGGTAGGATTTGAACACATCCTCCGGGGTGATAATTCGGTAGCGTTTACCATTCGGTCACCACTACCCTGAAAGTAAGTAAGTAGCTAGCGCACCGCATGTGTTGCAATAACGTGTTGACCGAATGAGCTATCCTCCATTTTTTTGCCACAACTGATAAGCCACTCGCTCCGAAGTGAAACTCTGGTTTAAGTTCTCTCTATGGCTGTACGCGCTTGACAGTGCTTCGATTGAAAACTGACATTTCCCCCAAGTCTCGACTTTTGTTGAGTAAAGCTGAAGGAATTCAGTGTAATCCCATCCGGTCTATATGCTATATTTGATCATTGATAACCATTCTGTCAACGTTTTTCACATGAACTGAGGCAAGCATGTACACATTTATTTCGCGTCGATCTTCCATCATCTCGACTACTCCTGGATAAATGATTTTCCCTACAGGATTTACGTTGAACTCCTCGCCTTGCCTTATTTGTAGCCTGATCCCTCGGGGAACGAGTTCACTATCAAACCGTACAGTCAACTCACACAGAGCATGATCGAGATGGAGGCTCGACAGTTGGTGTCCACCGCGTTTACCCGATGCGTCGCACTGTTGCAACAGAATCAGGACAAGTTGCAACGCATTATTGATGCACTGTTGGCCAAAGAAGTACTCACTTACGACGAATTGCGCGAGATCTGCCAAAATGATGCGACCGTGAAACAGTCAGTGGATCCTAAATCGAACGTGTAAAATGCGTTCAGTTCGACTGTATACCGAATCTGTTCAACCTGATGACTATATCTTCCTTTTTTGCATACTTGAGCCAATTCTTTCACACGGGGCCTTTTGCTCCCTCGTTGGTTCCCTTTGTCGACACCCAACGGGTGTGGCACGCGATTCACACCGTGCTCGTTTCCTAGATGATGTCCGGGTTGGGTTGACAGACGAGCAAGAAATAGTCTACATACTACTCCGTAGTTGCAGTCCAATCCCATTGGTGTCTGGTAATGTGTATAGTAAATCTGTGCTCACCGATAAATTTGTAAATTATAATTCTTTATCATCTACACCACGGATCACCTTTGACTCCTCTGACCTTGGGATTATTAATGTTTCATATTCAGTTTTTATAACCAATAACCATGCACTTTCGTGCGCCGGTTTTGGTTGCTGTCTTCTGGTCACCTATTTAGATAGAAACGCAGGATGAAGATTGGAATATTCAGAGCGAATTCAAGCGAAAGATAGAAAATCCATATGGACTGAGACTGCCAAAAAATGAGTGAATGCATGAGCGCCACTGCTTGTGACCCCCTGACTTATCGCTCAGCGTCTCTTACGGGACTTATGTGACCAAGTGTCTTGTTTAGAGTTTTCACACCCTCATGCCAGGTCTTCGTTTGACCAACCCAATATTATAGCAATATTTTACGCTTTGAGGGTGCAAAACGCATACCGAACATGGCCGCACTAGGACTCAAGTTATCCAGAAAAGCTTGCAACTTGCCTGGATCTTTCTTCACCTAGTAGCACAATGTATTTCGTCTAAAGCAAAGTCCCATTGATGACTGGAAGAGCGTGATTTTAACAATGTTGATCAAAACTTCAAACACGGTAATAACGCGCTAATCAGGTGGTGACTTATATCACTGCACCGAGCAAACAATGTTGAGGTTCAGCGGAGAATCTCAGATAGTCCCGGTCAAGCACCAAGGCAACTTCCCGGTCATGTCTTATAAAAACCCTCAATCATAGGACTTGGTCATATTGGTTTGCTGTCACATTTTCCGGTATGTAACCTCTTGAATCATTCAACAATGACTCCGGATGTCATACGCGATATCGCTTGTGCGTCTCCTCCAAGTTGCCACTGCTTGTAGACAAGCATGGTGCCAACGCCACAAACAATAATAACAATAACAGGGGATAGGTGGATTGGGGGTATAGAACAAAGTGGAAAGGAGGTAAAACGGTTCAAAATGGAAAATTGGAGATAATTGGAGAAACAATGGAGAACAACATTACTTTCTACCTGTCCCACTTACTCTTTTCACATCGTTTAACCAAATAGGTGACTGAAAGACAACAACTCAGAGTGGCATACGAAACGATTGCCCCGTCACACACGTCACATCTATACATCGAGGAACCGAAACCAGTCATCTAAAACGAATTTGTGATATTCAGTCGTCCAGTATTACGATCGGTTTATACTAGTAGCCGAATTCGAGTCCGGGCTTACAGCACTTTCACCCGCATTCACCACAAAAAGTGGTTTTCGTCACGGTTGTCCTCTCTCTCTCCCTTTCTATTCAACTTTGTTATAGATTTGATTATGTAAACAGCTCTATCCTAGTGCGAGGATAGTGGCATCGATTTACTCCCTGGTGGCAGACTGTCTGATCTAGAGTATGCAGATGACATTGTGCTACTAAGTGAAGATCCAGGTAAGTTGCAAGCTTTTCTGGACAGCTTGAATGCCAGTGTAGCCATGTTCGGTATGCGTTTTCCACCTTCAAAGTGCGAAATGTTACTAAAAGACTGGGTCGGTCCAGCGCCGAACCTCATCCTAACTGGAGAAGTAATAGAGTAAGTGGATAACTTTTGATATTCGGGCAGCTACATCTCACCCGGTGGACGCATCACGGATGAAGTGTCAGCTCGCATACAGAAGGCTCGATTGGCATTTGCCAAATTGAGACATCTGTGGCGCCGTCGCGACATCCGGCTGTGTGTGAAGGGTCGAGTGTATACCGCGACAGTTCGGCCAGTTCTGCTATACGGTGCAAAAACTTGGCCATTTAGAAAACAGGACAAAGATAGACTGTCGGTGTTTGAACATCGGTGTCTACGCAGCGTTGCACACATTTGGTGGGGCAGCCGGACAAACAATGCTGAGGTTAGGCGCTGAGTTTTGGGTATCCGCGATCGCCCACTAGAGCAAGTGGTCGATCTCCATAGATTACATTGGTTGGGACATGTGCTACGCATGTCTACAGATAGGTTACCACAGCGAACGATGTTCGCCCAGGAAGTAGTGGGTGGAAAAAAATCAAGGGTGGTCAAGCTAAGACCTGGCAAGAGGGTATAAAAACCATAACCAGGAGACTGAGTCACATAGGTCCCGTTGGGCTCCCTGGTTGGAGACCTCGTGAAGATCGTACCCGATGGTTACAGACACTGAATAATGTGGCTGGGTGTCGTAAACAAGTGGCGTTCGTGCATCTTCTCAATTTTTTTGCAGCCATAGTTTACTGGAGTTTTCAATTTTCTCTTCTACTCTACCTTCAACTTTCATGTTCTCCAATTATTCATCGAAATGGGCAGCTAAAAGACAGCAACGAAAACCGGTGCACGAAAGTGCATGGTAATGGTTGTTCAAACTGAAACAGTCATCCAGGTGATCAAGTAATAGCGTGAACAGATAAGAAAATGACGATGAGCTGGTTACTATCTTTATTGATTTCAGAAAGTTTGGCAAAAACCATAGGTGATATGATAAGACACTGAAAATGACAGGCATCTGAAGTAACCCAATCCGGACGGCTGGATAGACACTGAACTGTAGAATCGAATCAAAGTTGCAGGCTTATGTGTAGCTCATTGGTTATGTGGTCTGTCGGAAATTCCCAAATCTGCAGTGCGTAACCAGCCTCATCCTGTCATGAAGAAACTCTCCTGTTGTCGGATGGGCAACATAACTTTTCAACCTCAAGAGGCACAAGTTTGATTACGCTATCTGCAAAACGGCTTTTACAAGTCTCAGAGATGTCCTCAACAATGCGAATGGGTAAAATGAAGTTATCAACAGCAGCGTGACGAGCAAGCTCGTTTTCATTCGTAATCATGCCATTACATAACATTTGCTAGGACTAACAACGAGGACAAAAAAAAGGAATGAGAAATTCGAGTCCTAATGGCTCGACTCTGGCTCTAACTTTGTGTGCGAGTGTGTTTGTGTCAGCTGGTTCACAATGTCTTTTGATTGTAAAACCTGCCTTAAGAAAGGTTACCCGTGGTAACCGAAACATCAGCGAATATAATTATCCACTGACATCTCTGTGTTATTAACACTATAACATTCACAATAATTGCAACACATGGCGCATCGATTTTTCGATACACTCCTAACATCATCATCCACACTTGTTCTATCGCCAACACTTCATCGGATTGCGGCTAATCTCCGTGTCAGGCATGAAATATTTTTCACCAATCCCAGTTCACTAATCACCTTAACCCAGGATGCGAAAAACGTTTAATTCGTAGTGCATAAATGTCTATTTTGGATCCGCATTTTTCAGGAATCCTCGGTACCTCCGGTGGCCGAAACACCCTATTCACTGCATAATGCACAGACTGACAGAAACGCTGAAACCAGATGTGCGCTCCCTTGGGAATCCATCCTACTCCAGTGGAGTGTGCCGTTTCTAAATGAGGATATCCGGTTTCCAGTAGAACGCGTTCTTTTCATTAGCTGATCGATATTATCTTCCATCTTGTTAAACACGGACAAATTTGCGTCAAAAGAATAGATAGATAAATGATGATGATGATGATGATGATCAAAACTGGCGCCTAGGTTGATTTGGTTAATTGAGCAAAATTCTTTGTACACGAGTAAACGTTTTTTTCTGACCGATCGATCTCATTTGATTGATAATATCGTAGAACATGGTGGACGATAGGTCGCGATCAATAACGTGTCTTCGCACACGATAAAATGATTTCACTATATTTCAGGTACAGGTGGTTCCAGAAGCGTATACATTCTATACTTGTGGAAACACCTAAGAGGTGGTGAAATAAGTCACGTGGTCTGATTAACAATCGAATGGATATTCTTCAAAAATGGAAGCGGAGAGGGACTTTAAGATAGTGTGTATTCAAGTAGCAAAGATACTGATCAATAACCTTGCATTTGATTTGTTTTTGCATTTATGCTCTTTCAGAAATTCCGTAACAGTCAAGATTTATATTTCAATTAAAAACGTTCACTGACCATGCGCCATAGTGCAAAATTTGGTTTCAGCTTTGATAACCATTAGCCTTCCGCCCGTTTTGGTTTTTCTCTGTAGGCTACCTATTCTGATGAAAGAGGAAGGGGAACATAGGAATGTTCTAATCAATGTCAGGATCTAAAAACAAACTTAATTTTTTACTTTACTTTACTGGAAAGGATTAGCTGGCTCCAGACATAATCACGATCATGAAGGTACTTGGGAGTTTCGTAAAAGAAACGTCCTCAGCGTTACTCGGCATTTTTATTTTGAGGGCACACAACCAAGTGCGAACTGCAAGGCAGCAGAAAGTAAACCGTCGCCTCCAAAGTGAGGGGGTCAACGACTTTAGTTTTAAAAGGCCAGTCACATCGACCTTTGTCAGGATACCGTCATTGGGCTTACATATATATATATATATATATATATATATATATATATATATATATATATATATATATATATATATA